CAGCAGAAGTGCTAGCATTTTTTTTTCTGAAACGCATCCCACATAGTCTTAGCTATGGTGAATCCCTCAAATTCACGAATGAGGTCATCATCTATAATATTTAGCAAAGTAAAGCGAGTGTTATGATCAAAATTGTCCCATGCCTCATATTTATGGCAAAATTCCTTTGCGGTACCTTGTTCAGGTTTTGCTTAATAGTATTTAGGTGTTCAAGAGTACCTTGCTTACTTAGAAGGAATTGCATTTTCCTATGCCACATAAGAAAATTACTCTCACTCAACTTTTCGCCTTTAGTGAGATCCGTGATCATATTTTTAGAAGTCATTCTAAGTCAAAACAATAAAATTGCACCTATTAATATGGATGTCTAATGGTTTTTTTTATTCATGATTGCACTAAGATTATCATTTTTACGTTTGTTAATTGTCTAATTATTTGAAAAAACTTAACCCTTAAAAGTTTTGATATGAAAATTTCATGTGGCCACATTGAGCTCTTGCTTGTAATCATTACTAAATTTCTTGATTGGATCTAGCATATCAAATAACTCACAATTTGCAAGTGGTACATCTTCTTAGATGCACTCCAACTAAAAAAAACTTTACCTGTGGCCTTAAAATGCCAAAAAAGTGAGTAGAGCCTGCATGTATGGCTTAGCATGTGATACTTATAAAAATCAGGTAGCCATGGCGCTCATGGTCTAGTAGGCATCAACTTGCATAGCCCATACATAAGGTTAGTGACTCCTCAATCTGTAAGGCGTACATGACTATATGGTCAGTGCATAAAGTTGCATAGTGTATCTGGTCATGGTTTTAATATAACCATCATGTGCACTTTGCAATATTATAGGTTAATCATAACCAAGCCTTAAAAAAACATAACGTGGAAAAGATAATGCGGGCACAATCGGGAACCCGGTTCCACGATGGCTCTAATACCAATATTGGAATGAACGATCCAACTAACGAAACATAAGCAAAATAATCAATCGGGAACCGAGTATCATACCTGAGTACTCACAAAAAGATTTCTGGTGAACGAATGTGGAGAGAAATGATCAACTTCAACAATTACTAGAGCTGCCGAAATCTGTTCCACACCACAAATCCCACGCGAGGTGGAAACTCAAGAATACTCCATCAAATGCGGTATGAAGAGCAGTCCGAGCTAAACTCTCGCGTACAACTCTATCTCTTAGGGCTGAGTCTCTTCTTAGAACTCAAATGAAGAGAGATTGTACTCTCTCTCTCTCTCAAGAGTTTAGCTCTCACACTTTCTCGTGTGTGTTGTAGTGTGTAGAGACCTCCACCCCTCCTTTTTATAATGAAAGAAATGACCATCTCATTCATGTAGGAGTAACCTCCTCATGAATGTGTACCCATATCGTGCATAGTGCATCCCATTCATAGGAGGGTAACCCCTCTTGAAGAAGTGAAACCTTTTCCCACCTCCCTTCATGCAGTAACGTAAGTCAAACATAAAGAGGGTGTGGTCCAATTGGGTATACCCCTACACTAGGAATGTACCCTCATGTCTACAGTAATGAGATGAATGCGATGTATTTGGTTGTCTTTTAATGAAATTGTTGTAAATAGATAAAAAATAGCTAATTGACTTTAGTAATACTACATGTCAAGTTTGATTCCTACGAGTGAACTATATCTCACCCCATCGCCCCAAAAAACAAAAAGTATTTGTTTTAAGTAGTATACTATGAAGTCAACTGGGTTTACCGTCCATTCTCTTATTCCATCAACCAATGTTTGGAAAAACAGATCAGTGTTCCATTTTGCCCATCCTAAAAATCAGTTCACATTAGCGGATTGGCTGTCTGGAACAGTGGATCAATTCGATTGGCCAATTTGGCCTTAAAATTTGCAATTGAGTTTTCAAAAAAAGGGGGTAGAGCATTATGGACTTTCAATACTTTGTAAAAGTACGTGAATATTGAGCTGCCGATTTTTGTGTGAGTGTCTATTGATATTAATTTTGATACAATTTTTTTATACTAATCTTAATACAATATTTTTACAAAAATTTTGATGCTCATTTTGTGCTTTTTAAGGAAGAAGCGGCAGAGGAAAATAATAATAACAACAATAATAATAATAATAATAATAATATTATTATTAATAATAATATTAATAATAATAATAATAATAATAATAATAATAATATATAATAATAATATATATATATATATATATATATATATATATATATATATATATATATATATAGTAGTAGTAGTAGTAGTAGTAGTAGTAG